TGCTTCTTGGAGGCAAGGATTTTGAAACTCTATCTCATACACTTTGAGCATGGCGTCAGAGGGGACCAGCACTTTGAGAAGGACATCATGCTTAGAAGGGTAGAAGGCCAGTGCAAGAGAGAAAGACCCTTAGTGAGATGGACTGACACTGTGACTGTGGCAACGGAGTGGGATACGTTGGAGATGGTTAAGTTGATTCAGGACAGGGCAAGTTTTAGAGTCGTAGTGGCCTTCTCTCAGTCTTTCCTTATTTTTCATGGGGTTCAGTGAGCATGTTGTTGCTATTTATTGCCATTTAGTCATGTCTGACTCATGGTTATTGCATTTGTATGGAGTTGAACTGCTCTGTAGGATTTTCAGGGCTGTGACTTTTTAATAAGCTGGTGTTTTGGAGTCCTTCTGTGTAGTGTCAAGCCACCAACATTTATGCTAGTATTTGCACACTTACAAGACCTGAAAAACACTAACACCTTGAAGAATGTTATTATTGTTTAAGAGTCTGTTTACAAGGATTCTAATACTCTGTGTAATTTGGAAAGCAAATCCAGGGGATGTGGATTTATTCCTAGATGTCTTGTGTAAAAATATGGAAAAATCCCTTGCTTCCTTACATCTTTCTCTTCAAATAATGATATCCATTTTTCTCCTCGGTACTCAAGGAACTTTGATGCCTTAGTGAGTAAAGAATTGCACTGCCAACCTAGAGGCATGGGGTTTGATTTCACCAGATAGTATGTGTGAGAAAGATGGGTAGTCACTTCCTATGTGATTTACAGTTCTAAAAATTGCTAGAGGGTCAGCAATAAGTTGGTTCCAACTCAGTGTCACACACCAATATTTTCTGCACTCAGACTGTTTCATCTACTGTGTCTGTGTCCTTACCCTTTCACATTTCTGTCCTCCTTGGTGGTGGTGGTGCCCCACATTCCTTTCCCACCACCAAAGGGCAGATCCCAGGATTACTTTATTGAGAGATGACTCATAATCAGAGACCAACACATCACCATTAAAGTCAATAGTGCTTCTTAGGGACCCGACTCATGGCAATAAAATTTGCTACTAATCATGAGCAATTTCAATTTGCAATACCGTATTTTAATTGTTCAGAAATATCTATAAAGACATATATAGGATGACAGATTAAAATTGAGCTTGAACTGCTGACCATTTTCTGGCTCAAACAGCACTCCATACGTAGAAAGCACATTCCTCTTAGTTGATGGTGGTCACAGCAACACACTGGGATGATCAAGCTCCTCAGATGGTCAGCTTCCATTGTCTGGATGGAGATATTCATGCAACCATGGTAGTGCCATCCAGCTTGGGGAATTAAATACATCTTCACAGTTATTGAATTTCAATTCTGGATTTAACCTGCAGTGATCACTTCACCAACTGTCTAGGGAACAGAAAATAGAAGCGGTTTGAATTCATTCTCCTTCACTCTTTTTAACCCTAAAAGCACATGCACTAGTGATTAGAATCTGGTGAAACTACCTGCCCTTTTAATTTTTTTCTAGTTTCTAAAGATTAAATGAAGATTCTCTAAGGTGTCTAGCTTCCACTAATGATGTTATGTAAAAGTATAGTGGTTCTTGTATATAGTTTTAGTTCTTGCCTGTACCTTTGCTTATTACTTTCTTCGTATGACACCCCTTATACTCTAACTGCTTTCATTAATGGTACATTATAACTGCTAATTAAAAACAAATAAACAAATAAACCTCAAAAAAAGCCAAAGACAAACAAAACTGCTTGCACAAAAAACCCCTCAAAACCCTTCAGACTCATTGCTGTTGAATCAGAGCTCATTAATATCTGATTTTCCAGTAAATTTATTGAGGTTATAAATAATTCAGGAGGATATTTCCAGTCTTTCTCATGTGAGTGACTGGTGAATAATTGTTGTTTTAGGTGCTATTCAGTCAAGAATGACTTATAGTGACCCTGTGAGCAACAGATCTGAACCTTGTCTGATGCTACGCCATCCTCATCGTCTCTGACATACTTGATCCCATAACTGCAGTCACCATTTCAATCCATCTCACTGAGAATCTTCTGCTCCTTTGCTGACCCTCTACATTTTCAAGCATGGTCTTCCTTTCCAAGGAATAGCCCCTCCTAATAACATGCTCAAAGCATATGAGATGAAGTCTAATTATTCTTGCTCCAAAGAACACTTTGGCTGCACTTTCCTCAAGACATATCTGTTCATTCTTCTTGTAGTCCATGGTATAATCAGTACTCTTCTTTAATACCACAACCCTAAGGCATGTATTCTTCTTCTGTCACCCTTGTTCATTGTCTTGCTCTCAGATGCATAGCAAGCGATTGAAAAGAATCAGGAACATCTTAGTCTTTAAACTGAAATCATTGCTCATTATTTTGGAGATGTCTTTGACAGCAGGCTTTCCCAATAAAAAATGTTCTTGTTGTTATGTGCCATTGAGTCACTTGCAACTCATAGTGACCCTATGTACAATATTCCTAAAACCTATTGTATCCTATACCAAGTTTACTATCTTTGACACATCTACCTTCATTATCCCAGTCACTGAATCAATCCATATCATCTATGGTCTTTCTCTTTTTCTCTGTCCCTCCACCCTTCCAAGCATAATGTCCCTCCTTGCAACATGCCCAAAGTATGTCAGACGAAGCCTCAGAATCCTTGCCTCCAAGAAGTAATCTGGCTCCACCCTCTCCAGGATGAATCTGTTTATTCTCCTGGCAGTCCATAGTATATTCAATACTCTTCTCCAGCACCACAGCTCAAAAGCATTAATTTTCCTTCTGTCATCCCTAGTCATTGTCCAGCTCTCTGGTGCATAGCAAGCAATTGTGAAGACTACAACCTGGACTGGGCACACCTTAGTCTCCAGACTGAAGACATGGCTTTTCAGTACTCTGTAGCTGTCCCTGACAGCTGACATTTCCAATGCAATTCATCTTTTAATTTCCTGGCTGCTGGTACCAACAGTGTAGATTGTGGAGCCAAGCAAACTAAACTTGTTAACAATCACAATCTCTTTACCATTTATCATAATGATTTATTGACTGTGGGTACCAAACATGTTGAATGTGGATCTAAGTAAAATGAAATAATTTTCATTTTCAATCTTGCCTCCATTGATTGTGATGCTACCTATTGGCCCAGTGGTGAGGATTGTTGTTTTCTTGATGTTGGGTCATAATCCATATTAAAGCCTGTAGTCTTTGATTTTCTGCAACAAGCATTTCAAGTCCTCATCACTTTCAGGAAACAAGATTATGACATCTGCATAACATATATTGTTGATTAGTATTCCTCGGATCCAGATACCGCATTCTTCTTCATTAAGTCCAGCTTCTGGAATGATTTGCTTAGCATATGTATTTAATAGCCATGGAGAAAGGATACATTCCTGATGCACACCTCTTTTATACCGTGTAGAACTCCTGGTGGTCTAGTGGTAAGGAATTGTGCTACCAATCCAAAGGCATATGGTTTGAATCCACCAGCTGCTCTTCAGGAGAAAAATGGACACTTTCCCCCCATGCAATTTACAGCCTCTGAAAACCCAGTAGAGGGTCAGTTAGGAGTCACTTTCAACTCAATGGTGCAAAAGAATACAAAATTCTTCCTTAGTGGGAATTCGGATGGTCTGGTTAAAGCCCATTGTCTCTGGGTATTACAAATGGCTTGCAAGCCCAGCTGCTACATAGGTAGTAGCTGGACTGGGTCCATCAGAGTTTCTTTGGAAGAAAGGTGTGGTGATCAGACATTGAAAACTCTAAAGAGCACAATTTTATCCTGACAAGCATGGGCTCACCATGAATTCAGCTAACTCAATGTCTACTGGTTCAGGTGCAGAGATCCTATATAACAGGAAGTCTCAGATTATGACCTAGTTGTTCTTTAATATTTAAATTGGATTTGTACTTTAATGGAAGCAGTTAGATATGATTCATATGTTGTTAGATAGGATTCATATGTTGTTGTTGTTGTTGTTGTTGTTGTTGTTATGTGCCATTGAGTCGCTTGTGACTTACAGTGACCCTATGTACAACAGCTCTAAACCCCACTCTATCCCATTGCCAATCTTATTGACTCTGACACGCCTGTCCCCATTTACCCCAGTGATGAATCAATCCATCTCATCGAGGGTCTTCTTCTCTTGCACTGTCCCTCCACCCTCCCAAGCATGATGTCCATCTCCAAGGACTGATCCTGCCTTGCAACATGTGCAAAGTATGTCAGACAGAGCTTCTGAATCCTTGCCTCTAAGGAGCAGTCTGCCTTCACCTACTCCAGGTCAAACTTGTTTGTTCTCCTAGCAGTCCATGGTATAGTCAATACTCTTCTCCAGCACCACAGCTCAAAAGCATCAACTCTTCTTCTATCATCCTTAGTTATTGTCCATCTTTCTGAGGCATAGCAAGTAATTGCAAAGACCATGGCCTGTATCAGGCACACTTTAGTTTCCAGACTGACATTGTTGCTCCTCAGTACTTTAGAGAGGTCTCTGGCAGCACACTTTCCCCAATGCTATTCGTCTTTTAATTTCCTGGCTGCTGGTACCAAGAATGTTGATTGTAGAGCTAAGCAAACTGATGTTGTCAACAATCTCAATCTCTTCATCAAGCATTGTGGTTCGGCCAGTTGGCCCAGTGGTGAGAATCTTTGTTTTCTTGATGTTGCGCTTCAATCCATATTGAAGTAGTAACAGTCAAATGTTTGAGGATATAATATCTGATGTGCTTTCTATGCATCCAAAACATTAAAGAAATGCATCCATATACACTGCAACATCTTTAACATAATGTACTACTACTACTACTACTAATGTTTTGATTCATGTAACAGGATAGAATCTTTTTATTATTACAAACCATTTTATGTATCTCAAAATTTTAATAATGAAGGCTTTCTTCAGGTTGATGGTACTTATTAAATAAGATGTGTGTGCTCTTTCTCTTCCGGTCGCTGGAGCTCCAGGAGCTGCAGCAATGGTGCAGACATGGCCAAGTTCAAGAACCACACCACACCCAACCAGTCCCCAAATTGGCACAGAAATGGTATCAAGAAACCAAGATCGCAACAATATGAGTCTCTTAAGGGGGTAGACCCCAAATTCCTGAGGAACATATGCTTTGCCAAGAAGCACAACAACAAGGGCCTTAAGAAGATCCAAGCCAACAATGCCAAGACCATGGATGAACGTGCTGCGGCTGTGAAGGTTCTTGTCAAGCCCAAAGAGGTCAAGCCCAGGATCCCAAGGGGTGACAACCACAAGCTCAGCCGACTCACCTACATCGCCCATCCTAGGCTTGGGAAGCAAGCTTGGGCCTGCATTGCCAAGGGGATCAGGCTTAACTGGCCAAAATCCAAAAGCCACGGCTGACAGTAAGGCCGAAGCTCCAGCAAAGTCCTCAACTCAGGCGCCAGCCAGAGCTACAGCCCGGGCACCAGCTAAGGCCTCAACCCAGGCTCCTGCTCCAAGCCAGGCTCCTAAAGGTGCCCAGGCCCCTGCAAAGGCTCCATAACTGAGTTCTCCATCTGAGCACAGAAGGACTGGTGCGACCCCCTGGGCTACCATCTACATGGGCCTGGTTTCCTCCTGTGTTATTTGTACAAATAAATCCTAAGGCAGGAAAAAAAATTAAGATTTTTGTAACCTGGACCCTGCTTGTTCTTTGTTTTTATATCTTGGAGAGAAAGCAAAAAAGATGGATTCCCAACCAGATAAATTGCATAGGTAACCATTCTCTGAAAACTAATACAAGTAGTTTATTTGAGAAGTATGTTTTTAATAATTCTGGCTTTTTCTGTTTAGTGTTTGTGCTATAAACCATAACATAGTATATTTTTTATGATAATATTATCTGAAATGAGAATGTAAAATACACTAGAGATATCTTAAGAGTGGAAATATTGTCCAGATAATCTATTACAAGAGCACTGTGACCTGCAGGAAAGAGGCAAAGTTATTTTATCCTGCCTTATCACTTCTGACTCACAGAGTAGGGCTTGCTGTCCCTTAGAGTTTTCTAAACAGTAATCTTTGAAATTAGAGTATTGGCTTGTCTTTCTCTACTGAGCGTTTGGGTGAATGTGGACTGCTAGCCTTTTAGTTAGTAGGTGAGCCTTAACAGTTGAACTACCAAGGTTTCTTCAGGTTGTTGCAGAACACCAATTCATTTTAACAGCAACAATTACAGGAGAAGATGAGTCTTTTTCTTTGTTTTCAGGAAGAAAAATGCTACTCTCTTTACTCATCCTGTTTTCCAGCTTCTGTGATGCTCTCAAACTATTTCTTTCAGACACTCCTAAGAAAGACTTAATCCTGAACAGAAGTGCTGATGGTTTAGGGGTGGTTATGTATATTTAGATAGGACAGAGAATAAAGCTTAGTTTACCATACCTCTTCAGCCTGAAGGGCAACCTTATTGCAATACACCATAAGTTAGAGGTGTATGTTGATCTACAGTTTCTAGAGAAAGTCACTGTTAATAAATCTGTAGAAGCAACCAAAGGAGGGGGGGGGAACATTTCGTGAGTGCCAACTTGGTTTTGAGATTTCTATTTATCCTAGTTTCATGTAATATCTAAACTTGTCCAAGGTGAGGTCATCATAAAAGAATTTAAGGGAGGGAGGTATTTCTTCAGTCCACCTAGATTCTCCTTTCACTCTTGATTTTTTGTTAACTTAAAGAACTTAATACCCAAGTTGGCATTTTTTTGGAAGAAATTAGAATGGCTTTATGTCAAGAATCCTATGTGAATTGACTTTGCTTGAAATGAAAGAGCTTAGATACTTCTTGTCTTATTTTTTTTATCTGCAGCTCTTTAGAACAATGATTCATGATAACAAATGTTCAGCATATAATATAGTGAATGACTCTAATAAATAAATGAGTACTTCCTTTGACCTTGTCTCTCCCCCAAGAATATTTTGCGCTTTCCTCCCTCTAATCGCCATACTTCTTGAAAATCTCTAGTTAAGTCAAGGAAATCTTTTTGCTCTCCTTTCACAGAGCCCATTTGTTTTTATTTGACCAGTTTGTATAGAATCTTGACCTCTCATTGGATTACCCTCCTCCTCCTGTTCAGTAGTATGTATTTTCTGTCCCTTTTGACCTGGTAGCATACCGTTTTACATGTTGTGCTGCTAACCAGAACATTGGCAGTTTAAATCCAGTAACCACTCCATAGGAGATATATGAGCAGCCTTCTCTCATAAAGATGGGGAAACCCAGTGGAAGACTGACATGTGTCAGAACTCATTTGAAGGCAGAAGGCTCGATTTTAGGTATTATTGACTCAATAACTCTGGAGGCACAGTGGTTAATCACTCAGCTAGCAATCAGAGATTGATAATTCAATTCTACCCAGATTTCCATGAGCTAAAAGGTGTCTTGAACTTCTCCCATAAAGACTGAAGCCTGGAAACTACTACTGCTGCTGCTGCTGCTACTACTACTAGTACTACGACTACTACTACTGCTGCTGCTGCTGCTACTACTACTAGTACTATGACTACTACTACTGCTGCTGCTGCTGCTACTACTACTAGTACTAGTACTACTACTAGTACTACGACTACTACTACTGCTGCTGCTGCTAGGGCAGATCTTCTGTCATATGGAGTCACTATAACTTGAAAGTTGACTTTTTGGTATGCACGAACACTTTTACTGAATTGAACCCTCCAATAGGTCGTCAATGAGTGGTCCCATCTGTCTAGATTTACTTTTCCTCATGGTAATCTTTTGTTGGAGTCTGTGAGACTGACTTAGGATAGGATAGGCTTCAGAATTGTTGTACACAGTGTCACTATGAGTCACAGGTGGCTTGACAGCACATAACAACAACAACAACAACAACATGGTAACCTTAGTTCTGAACTCCTTCTTTGCTAGTCACTAGACAGAGTCACTCTGTTTGGAATACCTAGAAGTGGTATAGTAGGTACTTGTGGAGTACTAAAGGCAAGGGTTCAACTACCAGCCTCTCTGTGGGAGAATGATGAGGCATTCTGCTTCCCTTAAGAATTCCAATCTTGGAAACACAATGAAAGATCACTGATATGGAATTAGCAGTAGTGGATTTGGGACTTATATGAATAGAGGATTTGGTTACTATGGAACAGAAGCATGTGATTGAAGACACCATTGATATTCCCTGCACAGAACACACTGGGACCAAGGATTCAATCGATATAATGTCGGTGGCAATTCTGAATCCCTGTTATCTGTGTAATCATGTGTACCTGAGAGGAAGCCTATTTGAAGATATTGTGTCCATAGTCCTTATTTTCTTCTAATCATTAAGAAATTAGATTTCTTGAAATATCAGCATTTGTTGGTCCCCTGACTGAAGAAAGGTATGCAGCCTAAGGAGGAGAGAATTCATGAATAGATTCTCATATTAAAAAAATGCTACATTTGAAAAATAACTAGGCCTGGAGCAATGCACTCTTGTACCTGCTGAGAACAGGCATATGTTTTTCAGAATCTCAAATCAAGGACATGTAGAGGTGTTTGTAAATGGAGAGGGTTGAAGGGAAGGAATAAGAGAGAGAAAGGGGTTTTAGTTTTCAACCTAGTTGATAACCATCTCATAGTAATATTTGAACTGCACAATTCTTTTCATATATAAACCTTTTACTTGGAGAGTATTGCTCAGAATAATGAAAGACCTATACTTGTTTTTGATCAACACTTACAGGAAAAGAGACCAAAGACTTATTGAGGAATAATGTTATTCTCCAATCTGTGTTTTTAAAACAGAGTGTTTTTAAGATTTGAAGGAAAATGGCTGTGGTTTTGAGTATGCGTTCTCCTATTGGGAGTCATAAAGAAGGGGGGGATTCAAACTCATAGCAACATGTTAACACAAGTTGGATGCAGATAGCTACACATAAAGAAGGGACAAGAATGCCCACTTATATGACCTTGAATAGGCTATTGGGTTACCAATTAAACCAAACCAAAATAATTATCATCAAGTGGATTCCAACTTGTAGTCACCCTATAGGGCAGAGTAGACCTACTCCATATGGTTTCTGAGGATTTAAACCTTTACAGGACTGCCTCATCTTTGTGCCAGGACGTATTTCGTGATTTTTTTTTTTTTTTAGCAGCCCCGTGGTGGAGCAAAGAAAAGGCTCCAATTATGAGGTTTTTAATGGACTTATCTAATTTGAAAGTTTTTGTTATGGATGTCTCTTTGATGGACAGGAGGAAAGAGAACAAGTCGTGTGTCTGATTGTCATCTCCAAATCGGTTTGCCAGCTCTTTCATCTGGATTCCATGTCATGTAGTTGGGGTAATACAGCATTCACTCCAGAGATGTATTTAATTTTTACTGTTTAAGGGGATAGATGTAAGGTCAAATTTTGGTTATCGCAGATTAGATTTTATTTTCTTTAGCTTCAACTTGAACTTGCATATGAGTAGTTAATAGTTTGTTCCACGATCAGCACCTGGACTAGTTTTCACAGCTAATAGTGAGCTACCCCAGTGATTCTGTCCACAGACAGAATGAATCAGATTTCTGTGTGAACAATCAGATAAGGTCCACGTGTGTAGTCACCATTTGCATTTCTTATAAAAGGTATTTGCAATGAAGAAGTAATTGATTGAATAAAATTATTTCATTAAGATTTTATACAAAGAGGCCAAGCAAAATCAAATGTGATGTGTGTAACAATAAGAGCAAATAGATTTAGTTTGACTTTATTAGAGTTTTTAAAAAAGTAAGGTGATTAAAGGAGAAAAAAGAGTAAAACATCTTGAGGGAGAGACAAAGTCAAAGGAAGTATTTATTCTTTAGATTCATTCACTGCTGAACATTTGTTATCATGAATCATTGTTCTGAAAAGTTGCAGATAAAAATATAAGGCTAACATATCTGAGATTTTTCTTTTTAAGAAGGGTCGATTCACACATGTTATCTTGGCATAAAGGAAACACTGTCTGATACATCCTGCCTCCATACCTTTTCAGTCTGAGTGCAGAACAGAGCATTCAAGAGGCAGGACTTTCTGAGGAGAAATGTGACATCAGGGTTGGAGGAAGACTTATTAACAAGCTGTATAATTCAGTTAACACAAATCTTGCTTGCTGAAACTGAGGAGGACCTGAGGCATTTGCTACACAAGGTCAAGGGCTATAGTCTTCAATATGGATTGAAGCTTAACATCAAGAATACAATGATTCTCATCACTCGGCCAATTGGCAGCACCATGATAGATGGAGAAGAGACTGATGTTGTTAAAAATTCACCTTGCTTGGGTCTACTCTCAACAATCTAGCTACCAGCAGTCAGGAAATAAAAGGAGAGTTGCATTAGGAAAATCTTCTATCAAGAACCTCTGCAAAGACCTAAAGAGCAATGACGTCAGTCTGAAGACTAAGATGTGCCTGATTCAGGCTAAGATCTTCACAATCAGTTGTTATGCATCACAGAGCTGGAGAATGACTTAAGGATGACAGAAGAAGAATCTATGCCTTTGAGTTGTAGTGCTAGAAAAGAGTATTGA